ACAACAATAATACTATAGTATATTTAATATATTATTTTATTAGATTATTTCATATATTATCTGAAAAAAATATAAAAATCGAAATAAAATAATACTATTTATTATTATTATTATTTTAACAAAATTCAAAATAGTAAAAAATATTAATGATATTATCTAAAAAATTATAATAACAAGAAATAACAACACAACTTTATTATTATAATATAAAATAAAGAAAATAGTTAAAAATGAATAAACATTATTATTATTATTATTATTATTAATTTTGAACTATTTCCTTTTTTTTAGAAATATATACTGCAGTGCTACAAACAACTTTCTCTGCAAGTGTGTCCTTATGTGCCAAGGCAGCTGTCAAAGCCATATATTTTCTGTGTACAAAGTAATTTCCACACACATTCAGTGTGTAGCAATAATGCGGCCCTCGATTTTAAAGCACAGAGCACCACACAAGGAAGCCATACGGATGCACGTAAGCAACCGCATCCTTCAAAATCTTCACGTCTCAATACAAGAGAGAAGAACAGAGTGTCTTTATTACCCAGTTATCATAAATAAAACCCATACACAAGCCCGGGAGAGAGTGATAGACAGCGTGAGCATATAAAACACATCCATCCAGCTGCGAGAGTGTTTTACTGCCATCTACAGAACGTCAATCAAACTGCCCACACAAAGACCGAGAGGTTATTAATATACAGCTCGAAAATAGAAAGCAAAAACATTTTTATGAGGTGCAACACTTTTTCTTTTCAGCGTTTTGAGTCAGCCAGTCGAAATCGCTTATTCTGGCTGGCTTGGGCCCGTTAAAAACCTGAGGACACTTAAGGATATGTCACTCAGCTGTGTTTGAGTGCTCTTTTTCTTTAGCTCAACCAGACACAGACCCCTGGTTTCTCACCTTCCTAATTGGCCACAGCTCTAGAATGGCCTATGACTCCACAAGCCGCGGAATTTCAATCAAGCTGCACAAAAGAGGCCTGTGTTTCTGCGCGAGGAGCGAGTCCGCCCGTCTCTCCATTCAGCCCTGTGTTTGTCTGTCTGACTCACTCTGCTGCCGTCTTACTCACACTGATGGACAGGAACTGAGGTCAGAAAGCCATCTTCTACCTCTGGCATGGGGTCAAATCTGCCCGTAATGCGGTTAATAACTGAAACAGGCCAGAGGTTTGTTAGTGAACAGGGAAAGATCCGGTCCCACTTATCTGTACTGAATTACAGACGGACGACATACACATATATATATATATAGTTATATATAGTTATATATATATAATAGGTTACTAAATTTTTGGATCGATTACTGGATATTTAACTATTTGCTTGTGAAGATACACAGAAGGTCAAATATTATGGTATTATGAACTTTAGTATATTTTTTTATGAAGCCGTTATTGTAGAATTATGCCTTGTTAGAAGTTTTTCATTATTTATACTCCAATAAGTGATTAAATTACTGTAATATCACATATATGCAACAATGCAACAATCTACTGTATTTATTATTATTATTATTAATAAACACACACACACACACACACACACACACACACACACACAATTACCAAACTATAATTACACTAGATTAGTATTTAAATCATTACCCAATAATATGTACTATTAGTTAAAAACTCTTACATAAATAATAAATGAATAAAAAAATAAAATAAAATAACAAAAATAACAAAAATATTATTATATAAATCTAAAATAACTAAAAATATTATTATTATATATACAATACATTTATATAATTATTGTTGCTTTTGTAATAATAATAATAACAATAGCAAGAAGTAAATACCAATGTATAATATATGTATATGGTAATCTATATAATACTTTACTGTATTAATTATTAATAACGAAATTAAGACTAAATTATAACTAAATTGTTTTTAAATCATTACCCAATAATAATAATGAACAAATAATGAATTAATAAAAAATATATAACCAAAAACAATTTTTTATTGCTGTTGTTATTATTGGTAAAATACAAAGTCTATATACATTAGTAGTAGTAGTAATAATAATAATAGTAATATATATATATATATATATATATATATATATATATATATATATATATATATATACATACGTACATACAAATTATGTTAATTGTAATATACTGTATATTATTTTGTTATTGTATTTAACAACAACAATAATAATAATAAGAATAAGAATAAGAATAAGAATAATAATAATAATAATAGCAATCACTCTGCTGCCCAAAAGCAGATGACGTAATGCTAAAATGGAAATATTTGCAGTTTTTTTTTAAATCAGTTGCTCATTTTCCTTTGCTGTGAAATGCTGCCCTCTACAGGAATTCCACTGACATCCAGTGCTTAACCGTGTTCTAAATAACACATTACACCATTTCTGCAGTGTGTAATAATTATAGTATGACAATTCACTTATTATCTGATTTACTGTCTGATCAGACTGCCAAAAGATTGGATTATGTTTGGAATAGCATACTGCTTTTATTATTTCTGTGTGGATTAAACATGCATGCAATTATATTAGTATACATTCCGAACAAGTATTTTTGGTTTCTATTTTGTTGCCGTGTTGCAATTGTTCAGGTTTCACTGTCTTGCACTTGATTGTTGCCTGCGGACACAAATTACCAATCCTGTACAGCACACAGACTCAAAAACAGACTCATGAAACCAATTTACACTCCATTTCGCTGCCTGAAACAAAGAGTTTGCCAGGAGGAGGATCCAGACACTTCCAGGCATCTGTAGCAGCACAGAAAAGCAAAGGCCAACGCTTGTGTGGTTTGGATTAGAAAGGAACACACTGCACTGCAAAACAAAAACTGGCACTGAAACAAAACTGGATCAGTTGCCAAGGAAACATATGCACAGTAATTACTAATATCATCACCTTGTTAAAACAAACAGAAATGTCAGAGGTTCGTTCTGTTCTTTTCCTGGTATTTTTATCATTTAAGTTAATTTAAAGTTCCACTGTAGTGAAAATCAAGTTTTTTTATGTTGTTTATTGTCTATGTGCTGTTTTTAATATGCTTTTAGACAAACCATGTGCCAATCTATTAATCAACACCATTGCAGAGTATTTTCTCCTTAAAACTGTAGTTTCCCAAAGGCTGACCCAGAAATGCAGTTTGAAACCGCCCTCGGTTTGCTACGTCACAATCCAATAACCAATCACGTCAAGGGATGGATTCCTATCACTAGCATGCAAAAAATACCAATACCAGCACAAAACCAAAAATAAATCTGAGCAAAAAACCCATGAAGCTGTGGTTTAATGTGAATTTAGAACCGCTAACTTGCATTATAACCCGTGGCAACAGTGTAAAAGTAGCCCGGAGTCAGACGCACCTCTCCCGCATCGGCATCTGCACTTCACATGTGTACGCTCGCGGGCGCGAATGAACAATCACAAACGGCTGCATTACAGTCTTCAAGGCATTTTAGGACACAACATCTTCAAGTAAGTAACTTTAACGAATGTTACAGTATTCACTGTAGTTGTCCGCTAGTAAAAACATAGTTTTATCAGTCATTATCCGTGTATGCCATTGTTTTGCGGTTACTACAGTTCAGTGGATCAGGAGGCGGTGCTGTGTGACTGAGTGGAGGTGGGACTAATTTGCATATTCATAGATCAGCGTATAGTAAATGAGGCAAGGGTGTAGAGTTGCATTCAAGCTATTTTAAGGCATGAGAAAATTATTTTCACAAGAAAAAACATTTAAATATGCCGTTTTGATGATCAAAGATAAGTTTTAAGGGATAAAATATTTGACTACAGGGGGACTTTAACGAGTTTATCCTCTCAGCATATGCGACGAGCGCAATAAAAGACACCGTAAAACAATATATGTAAAGAATAAACTGACATCAAGGCAGAAAAAAAATATGAACTAATTAACAATATAAAAAGCAAAATGTAAAAAAATTCAATAAAATATTTGTATTTATCTATTTTTTGGTTATTATTTATTTATAACTGAATTAATTAATAATTATATGTACTGAGATACTTCCAATGAACAACATATGAAGAGTTCATTTGCAAAAACAGATAACTCTGTTTTTAACATGTTGTTTTTTTGTCCTGCATTCCAATTAATATCAATCAAACTTCAGTTGGGTTGTTTTGATTAAATAATAATAACAAAATTTTTTATAAAATACAGCTAACTAACACAATACAACACAATAAAAACATGATAACATAATAATAAAAAAAACACATGATTTATGAAAATTAATAATAACAGTTTCTGCTTTTGCAAATAAACTATTCTGTGAGGGCTAGTGTTGTTATCGTTAAAGCTAAAACTATTAAAAATCATTATCTGTATTAAATCGATATAACATATATATATGAAGAGTTCAGATGCAAAAGCCTCTATGTGCCATCTGAAAATTTCTTCTAAAATTAGCATTTTTATCAGGCTCCTATGTTTATGTTCATTTATTTCACTTTAATGGCATAGAAAAGGACCTAAACATTGCTATTAAAGTGAAATTTCTGAACCTAAGCATAGGAGCCTGATAAAAATGCTAATTTTAGAAGAAATTTTCAGATGGCACATAGAGGCTTTTGCATCTGAACTCTTCATACATATATATATATATATATATATATATATATATAGATACAGATTATTTGGAATGCATACCAGTATATTGGTATCTTCAATAGAGTTAGTCATAGCCTGCTGCCTAAAACAGTGAAATTCATTTTATCTAAATAGAGTTTTGTTTTAATCATTTAAAACAAACGTTTTGCAAAAAAAAAAAGTTTGAAAAGCGTGCTTGTGCTATCATTAAAACTAAAATAGAATAGATTTAATATTTTGTAATCCAGTTTAATGGCATTCGTACACTTCTAAGTTTTGCTTAAGTGTCCAAATTATTTTTGGGGTGACTGTAAAGAGATATTAAATATATGGAATGCATACCAAAATTTTGACGTTTTAATATATTAAAATACATGTTCAACAAATATCTCGTTCTTCTTCTATAAGTACATTTAACAGTACTTTTATTATTGTTGTTAACTGTCATCAGTTTGCACTGGTCAGCCCTACAGGAGAGCAATATGAGTGTTTACAAAAGCAGCTGCGAGAACGAATAGAGGAAGGATGCGGAGAAACCATCTATGTGGTCGGAATGGGAACAGGTGAGACGTGAAAACACTTATTTTAAATTTAAATAATTTTTCAATATATTACTATTTTTACTATATTAAATAAATGCAACTTTGGTAAGCATGAGGGATTTCTTTCAAAAATAAAAAAAAAATTGACAAAACTTTTGAACATTTTTATTTAATAGACAAAAACACTGCTTTAGCAAAAGACACCATGCAATAGCGACCTTGTGACCTCTAAGGTCAAAGGTTGTTAATGTGTCTTGTTTTGACCAGATTTTGTACTTTTGCCCATCTGTCATATTTATTCTTGTATTTTTAAGCCTTTTTTGCCATAATTTCAGAAACTGATTTTGACTTTCCCAGACGTAAATGTCCTATTAAGAAGTGTTGATAAATTCTTGGTGTCTCTGTCTCTCAGACGGTGGTGATTATGGTCTGGATGAGCGGGATATGGAAGCATCTGTCGCTACAGTGCAGTCACTTTGTGAACAGGTGGATGCTGACCTGATTCTGCTGAGAGAGAGGACAGAAACAGCAGGACATCTCCGCGATTATCTCATTCGTCGTCGAGTGGGAGAGGCAGACTTCCTGGAAGTCAGGTTAGAAGATGTTTTACAAAGAAATTATGTTAAAAATGATACATTTTTTGCTTAAAATCATTTCTTTTTTCAGAGTGGCAGTCGTAGGTAATGTAGACGCTGGTAAAAGCACACTTTTGGGTGTCCTAACCCATGGTGAACTTGACAACGGTCGTGGATTCGCCCGCCAGAAGCTATTCCGCCACAAACACGAGATGGAGAGCGGTCGGACGAGTAGCGTCGGTAATGACATCCTGGGTTTCGACCAGGAGGGGCAGGTGGTCAACAAACCGGACAGCCATGGAGGCAGCCTGGACTGGACCAAAATATGTGAGAGGTCATCGAAGGTCATCACTTTCATCGACTTGGCGGGCCACGAGAAGTACCTGAAGACCACCGTATTTGGCATGACTGGTCACCTGCCAGATTTCTGCATGCTAATGGTGAGAGGGAGTAGGTGTGCCACAGGTGTATGTACTCGGCGGTTTCAAGCTTTATGAATTCTGTCTTTTTCTGTATCGCAAAGGTGGGAAGTAATGCAGGAATCATTGGGATGACTAAAGAGCACCTCGGTCTCGCTCTGGCCCTCAACGTTCCTGTTTTTGTAGTTGTAACAAAGATAGACATGTGTCCCGCTAACATCTTACAAGGTAATGTGACTCATTTTACTACAGAAGTTTTATCAACAGCATTTGTGGCATAATGTTAATCAGTACTAATTTACAGAAATCATTTTTAATATATAGAATATAAATTTAGTAAGATACTAGGTGCCCACAAATTTTTGCAGATGTTGTTTTTATTTTAATGCTTTTGTTTTTACACATTTTATACTATAGCCAATATGATAGTATAAATCAGCGGTTCCCAATCCCAGTTCTCGCTCTGCATATTTTGCATGTCTCGCTTAGTTTAACACACCTGATTCAGATAACCAGCTTGTTAGAAAAGAGCAATGTGCATGAACTGTGTTCCGATTGATATGATCCCTATACAGTGTTCATCGCTCCCTATTCCCTGAGCAGGGGAAATCCGTTTGTTTTCTTCTCTTCCGAACATTCATTCATGGATTTGCGCTGCGCCGCTGCCTGCAGTGTCTTCACACACAGACGAGTGTGACATCATATACCTCTGTAAATAAATACGATTTAAATTCACGTCTCGCACACTTTAATGCCCTTTAAATGGAACATATACAGTACACAAGTTTCGAACTGGAATCATGGCGGAATATCCAGTGATGTCCACTTCGCAGGGCACTTACGTTCGAAAAGAACAAACGTCGTACGTGATATAAATCTACAATTTTTTTTTTTTTTTTTTAAGATTTATTTTTGTAATTTAAGTGTCATATTCTATGACTTCTCTGTGTGGATGAACTTACACACTAGTGGTGTAATTCCTGCATGTTTGTGTAATATACGCAAGAATACTTCCTGGTATCCTTGCGCATATTGTGCAAATGTTAGTGTTTTTTTTAGTTTGGAAGTTATAAGATGTAACGAAGTTAAAGTTAAAATTATTTCCTGGTTTAATCAACAATATCCCGCAAATGCCTACAGTGTATGTTTTTTATTGACAAATTCTGTGTGGTTTCGCGTTGCAGAGACGCTAAAGTTATTACAAAGGTTACTCAAGTCTCCAGGATGCAGAAAAATTCCAGTTTTGGTGCAAAACAAGGATGATGTCATTGTTACAGCCTCAAACTTCAGCTCAGAAAGGTAATTTTACTGAAACTTTACATAAACTTATACTTAAGATGAGCCTCGCACTTTTTTGACTTAGGCCACTCAATTTTTTTGGCCTAGAATGCCATAAAAAATCTTACCAACCACACAAAAACAGTAAAAGTAGAATTTTTAGTCACTCCTGTGACTACAGTTAAATTGTTTACGTGAAAAAAACGTTGGAAATCAAGATGCTTTTTTGCCCAAAGAACCTTTGTAAGCGTAAACCTCAAACAAGGTATTAATATCATCTGTAGTAATGAGAGCAAATTAAACCAAAGCATTATTTTTGTGTGTAGGATGTGTCCGATTTTCCAGATCTCAAATGTGACGGGGGAAAACATGGACTTGTTGAAAATGTTCCTGAACTTGCTGTCTCCCAGAACGACGTTTAAAGACGACGAGCCGCCAGAGTTTCAGATTGACGACACATATTCAGTGCCGGTACGACACATACTGTATTTGTACTTCTGTCTACCTCTTTCTCAATCGTTTAAACCTCTCGTATGTTCCTCAGGGTGTAGGTACCGTAGTATCAGGGACTACTTTACGTGGATTAATACGGCTGAATGACACGCTGCTCCTCGGTCCGGATCCTCTGGGCGTCTTCATCCCCATCACCGTCAAATCCATCCACCGCAAGCGCATGGCTGTTAAAGAAGTGCGTGGCGGGCAGACAGCTTCATTCGCTCTGAAGAAGATCAAGCGTTCGTCGATCAGGAAGGGGATGGTGATGGTGTCGCCCCACCTCAACCCACAGGCATGCTGGGAGTTTGAGGCAGAGATTCTCGTACTGCACCATCCAACGACGATAGCGCCGAGATACCAAGCTATGGGTGAGTAGGCAAGACAAATGTTAAATATTTTGACTGAATTTTTGTTACTCATGATTTTAAATAGGCCTACTTAATAGGGCTGCACGATAAATCGCATGCGATATTTAACGCGCATCTTGTCAGTAAAGCCATTCTGTAATCAGCGGTAAATCTCCATCACGTGCGTCTCTGTGTGGATGAACTTACACACTAGTGGTGTAATTCCTGCATGTTTGTGTAATATACGCAAGAATACTTCCTGGTATCCTTGCGCATATTGTGCAAATGTTAGTGTTTTTTTTAGTTTGGAAGTTATAAGATGTAACGAAGTTAAAGTTAAAATTATTTCCTGGTTTAATCAACAATATCCCGCAAATGCCTACAGTGTATGTTTTTTATTGACAAATTCTGTGTGGTTTCGCGTTGCAGAGACGCTAAAGTTATTACAAAGGTTACTCAAGTCTCCAGGATGCAGAAAAATTCCAGTTTTGGTGCAAAACAAGGATGATGTCATTGTTACAGCCTCAAACTTCAGCTCAGAAAGGTAATTTTACTGAAACTTTACATAAACTTATACTTAAGATGAGCCTCGCACTTTTTTGACTTAGGCCACTCAATTTTTTTGGCCTAGAATGCCATAAAAAATCTTACCAACCACACAAAAACAGTAAAAGTAGAATTTTTAGTCACTCCTGTGACTACAGTTAAATTGTTTACGTGAAAAAAACGTTGGAAATCAAGATGCTTTTTTGCCCAAAGAACCTTTGTAAGCGTAAACCTCAAACAAGGTATTAATATCATCTGTAGTAATGAGAGCAAATTAAACCAAAGCATTATTTTTGTGTGTAGGATGTGTCCGATTTTCCAGATCTCAAATGTGACGGGGGAAAACATGGACTTGTTGAAAATGTTCCTGAACTTGCTGTCTCCCAGAACGACGTTTAAAGACGACGAGCCGCCAGAGTTTCAGATTGACGACACATATTCAGTGCCGGTACGACACATACTGTATTTGTACTTCTGTCTACCTCTTTCTCAATCGTTTAAACCTCTCGTATGTTCCTCAGGGTGTAGGTACCGTAGTATCAGGGACTACTTTACGTGGATTAATACGGCTGAATGACACGCTGCTCCTCGGTCCGGATCCTCTGGGCGTCTTCATCCCCATCACCGTCAAATCCATCCACCGCAAGCGCATGGCTGTTAAAGAAGTGCGTGGCGGGCAGACAGCTTCATTCGCTCTGAAGAAGATCAAGCGTTCGTCGATCAGGAAGGGGATGGTGATGGTGTCGCCCCACCTCAACCCACAGGCATGCTGGGAGTTTGAGGCAGAGATTCTCGTACTGCACCATCCAACGACGATAGCGCCGAGATACCAAGCTATGGGTGAGTAGGCAAGACAAATGTTAAATATTTTGACTGAATTTTTGTTACTCATGATTTTAAATAGGCCTACTTAATAGGGCTGCACGATAAATCGCATGCGATATTTAACGCGCATCTTGTCAGTAAAGCCATTCTGTAATCAGCGGTAAATCTCCATCACGTGCGTGCTTTCACATTGAGCAGCATTAACTACAGAGCCGTTGTTAACCGACAAGCTGAGCAAAACATGTGCAAAATATGATCGTGATTTTGCGCAGCTTGTCAGTGAACAATGGCTCTGTGTAGTTAATGCTGTTCAATGTGAAAGCACGCACGTGATGGAGATTTACCGCTGATTACAAAATGGCTTTACTGACAAGATGCGCATTAAATATCGCATGCGATTTATCGTGCAGCCCTACTACTTAACATTATATTTAATATAGTCTGTTAAATATTTAATAAAAAAGATTAGCATAAATATTTGACTGAATTTTTGATTCTTATGATATTGAACCTTAACTTTTTTATGTAGTTTAAAATATTTAATCAAAAGATTCAAAATAAATATTAGACTGGATATTTGTTTATTATTATAATAGTTAATTAAGATTTTTTTTTATGTAATCTATATTAAACATTTTTTTTTTTAAATTATGATTTTTTTTGTTTCTTGTGATATTTAAAACATTTGCTTGTTGTATAATATATATTGAACATATAAATATTGAAATAAAAAATAAACAAAAACATCCAAAATAAGACATTTGGATTTTTAATGCAGCAAATATTTATTTAGGATTTTATTTATTTATAAATCCAAATATCTAAATATTAAATAACTGTAATATATAAATAACAAATTTTACTTAAATATGTCAACAATAATATATATATATATGTATACACTAATTTTAAATGAAATAATTTTACTATTAAAAATGTAATAGTAAAAAAAGATATATACATTTTTTTACTGAATTAAAAATAAATTTTTATTAATACATTTATTTATAATTTATATAAAAACAATTTATGATATATACATTTTTGTCAGATACAGAGGATATTTAAATTTTGACAGATAATTCTGTTTCACGTGCTTACACTTTTATTTCATGTTATAACCAGTATAATAAGTACAGATCTTCAGGTTTACCTTTATAAAATCGGGTATCAAAAATGATAATTGAATGTTTGTATTGGGAAAAACTGCTGCTGTTGTACTGAAGAAAAAGTATTTAAAAAGATACATTTAACATTACGGGGGGACACACACATGATGAGTTTGAGTTTGTTTCAGTTTACTATATTTTTTTACATTGTTATTTTGTGTTTTGTAATATTGTTGTTACCCAATATTATAGTATAAATCGACACTTTTTTACCTTAATGATATTTAATATACATATACATAAAGAAATGAATTCCCTGTTTGATTTTGGGGAAATTAACCCTTATATTATGTGCTCCCAATATTGGCTTCTAATATCAATGCTTTTGTTTTACTGAAGGAGAGGTATAAAAAAATATGTAATATTTAAATAGAAATTGTATCTAAAAAGATATTGTATCATAGTTCACTGTGGCAGTATCAGACAGACGGCCACCATCATCGGCATGAACAAAGACTGTTTACGGACGGGGGACAAAGCCAGCGTACACTTCCGCTTCATCAAGACCCCCGAGTACTTTCACACGGACCAGAGACTCGTCTTCAGAGAGGGCAGGACCAAGGCCGTGGGCACCATCACTAAGGTCAGAGGTCACAAAAACATTCACCCTATATATACATATATATGGTTTCTTGAGATTTATCCAACTGGAAATTGTTATTGAATTGGTTTTACTTTAGAGATGTCAATCATGCTTTTTTTATAATGTCAGCCAATAAAGTATATAAAGAGATTTGTTACCTTCCAGCATGAGTCATAAAAACTGGCGATGCATTTCCTTCTGAAACTCTTGTCTGTTGTCTTCGCTTGTACGACAGCTGCTTCAAAGCAAGCCTCAGGCCAAGATGCAGTCTACCAAGAAAACCTCGTCACAGGTGGAAGGCTCTTCATCAGCCTGCGAGGAAAGCACACAGATGGGAGGAAGCCCTCAAATGGGACAACTGGTGAGAGGCAGCAATAAATCCATAAATAATGGATAAAATAATTGTCCAAACTGTATGTACAGATATTTTATTATATATATTGTAAAAATATTACAAATCAAGTCAATAATCAAGCCAATAATAATAGTAATAATAATACTAATATTGCATAATATTTTTATTTTACACACACATTTTATTATTATATTTTAATTATATATATAATATTTGGACTAATGATTGTTTGTATAATAAATATATATATATATATATATATATACAACAGTTCGTTCTGG